ATTTACTGAAAAAGTTGCATGCAGCAGGCATATAAATATACAGTAAACGTTTTTGCATAAATTAGGAGTGATTTTTGTGATGTATCCAGAGTGATTGAAAAATGTCCACACAACTTTGGGGATGAATCCTTAGGTCGTTTTATAGAAAAAACATTCCTGTGAACACGTGTCCTAAAATTCTTCCTAAAGGGAGCTACAGTCCCTTCAAGGAGGTGATGAAAAGTTAATTTCTGATTAATGTCTCAAAAACGCTTTAATATAAAGTAATGACCTTATGTCTGTGTCTTAGCGTTAGTATTTGCTACTGGAAACATTGTACAGGATAGAACCTGTTATTTGCTCTATCTTGTATAACCTATTCAGGCTGATGAAGCAAAAACATATTTCCAAAAATTTGCTCTCTTTACTGAAAGGACTGTGCTTGCAATTTGAATCCGCTTTCCCATTAAAATTTATTTTCAACCTTGTAACGTGGAGCCTCGTTACTTCTCAACAATTAATGTTGTAGAACAGCGATAGCACGTACTAACACTACGGTACATACCAAATTTCACTGATATATCTATATTAAAGCATTTTTGAGATATTAATTAAAAACTTGGAAAATATTTTGAATATTTTACCGCAAAATTTCATAAGAAAAACTAACTTGCAATTTATAAATAAAAATTTATATTAATTATGTATATTAAAATACTTCTTACGTCATTAAAACTGCAAGAAACATGTTAAAATATTAAAATATACTTTAATAATAATTCTGTGTAAAAAGAAAATGCGATCATTTTTGTCCAGAAAATCCAAAATAAATTTGAAGTACCTTAGGTAATTTAGATATCACAAGTAGGTACATTATTAAAAAATGCAATGCTTTTGTTCATTGCTTTTCAAAGATCATAGCAAGAAACATTTGGATGTGGTAGCAACACAAGAAGATTTGGTCATGGCTTCAACAAAAAAATCAAATCTGCCGTCCTCCCTCCCATGATTGATAGTCGATTTACGAAAAAGGATCTCAACGACGTCTTTACTTTTGAATTTGAAAAACCCAAATTTGGGCTTTGGGGAAAAGCAAAGAAGAAATCGGCAATGTGCAAGGTGGAAAAGGAAGTGAATGGCAAGCTCAAACCATGTAGCTTCAAGACAAGTGAAGCAAGTGCCATGAAAAGTTTCAACCTTTGGCGGCATGTAAAATGTAACCATCCTGAAAACCATGCAGCTCTGGTTACAAAAAAGATTCCAGGAAGATGAGGCAAAACAGAAAGCTGACGCGGCTAAACAACATTCACCTGGCTCTTTGAAAACTCCTGGAGAAAAGATTTTTTGCAGAAATTCATCTGAAAAGAAACCCAAAATTGAGCAAACAAAACTTGACTCAGATTTGAAGTCTTCAAAGGTTACTGTCACCATGGATGCCAATACTTTCCATGAAGGGCTGATGGAAATGGTTTGCTTGAGTTCAACACCGATCACTATCTTCAGGCTAAAGAACTGAGTCAACAGTGGCCTTCTTGGCAACAACGGTACAATGGCATTTTGGGATGTATAAGTAGGGGCATTGCCAGCAGATCGAGGGACGTGATCATTCCCCTCTATTCGACATTGGTGAGGCCTCATCTGGAGTACTGTGTCCAGTTTTGGACCCCACACTACAAGAAGGATGTGGAAAATTGGAAAGAGTCCAGCGGAGGGCAACAAAAATGATTAGGGGACTGGAACACATGATTTATGAGGAGAGGCTGAGGGAACTGGGATTGTTTAGTCTGCGGAAGAGAAGAATGAGGGGGGATTTGATAGCTGCTTTTCAACTACCTTAAAGGGGGTTCCAAAGAGGATGGATCTAGACTGTTCTCAGTGGTAGCGGATGACAGAATGAGGAGTAATGGTCTCAAGTTGCTGTGGGGGAGGTTTAGGTTGGATATTAGGAAAAACTTTTTCCATAGGAGGGTGGTGAAACACTGGAATGCGTTACGTAGGGAGGTGGTGGAATCTCCTTCCTTCAAAGTTTTTAAGGTCAGGCTTGACAAAGCCCTGGCTGGGATGATTTAGTTGGGGATTGGTCCTGCTTTGAGCAGGGGGTTGGACTAGATGACCTCCTGAGGTCCCTTCCAACCCTGATATTCTGTGATTCTATGGAAACAGAAATTTCCTTGCAATCAATGATCAGTAAGTACTACGAAGAAGGAAAAGATAAAGCTGTGGTAAAAACCTTGGACATAATCGACACTGAAAGGCGTCACAATTCTTTGTATGTAAAAAGTCAAGTAAAAACTATTTTAGAAAAAAATGGGATCAGTGAAATGCAAGTGCTGAGCATCTGCGTTGACAATGCAGCAAACATGACATGTGCCATCAAAAATTTCAGCGAGGACAATGAAACCATTTCTACCTCTGAGACCAGGGATGTGGACAGAACTGAAGCTATTTTACCTGATGAAGGGAACTAAAGGAATGGATAAAATCGAACTCAACATGGATGCTGCTGTGCGATGGGTTAATGACCCTCGCCTCATACTTCCAACATGGCTTCATGAGGACGACTCAAAAGTCCAGCTGATGAGGTGTGGTATTCACACTCTTCAGTTGGCAATCTGGGATGGACTGAACAAAGAACATGTGAAGAAATTTCTGGCAAAAATTCGACAAGTTGTTGTCAAACTACGAACCCCAAGTATTCAAAGTGTTCTGCTTGATCTACATGGGGTAACTCAATCATTGGATATTGTGACTCACAGCGGTTCAACATTTGCGATGATTGATCAGCTTTTCGTTTTTCAATCTTACTGTGAACAATGGGCTGCTGCTGAAACAAGAGAACTCAAGTTAACAAAAGCTGAATGGGACGAAGTGAAGAACCTGCGAGACCTCTTGGCAAAGCCAAACCAATAACCGTGAATCTTTAAGCTGCTGATGTAACCCCAGGAGTTTTAATGAAGGAATGGCGAAAACTGTGAAAATTCTTGCAAGAAAATGGTGGACAAATTGTAGAAGGAATTCTGTCCTTCATGCAGAAACACGATGAGAAGCTTTTTGACAATATTCCTTTCCTTGCTGGAGTTTGTTGACCCACGGTATCGGATTCTTCTTACCTCAAGGGAAATACCAAAGACAAAGGAAGGGCTCCTTGATATTGCTCAGTGACATGAAAAACAAAATCTATTGCTACATTTGAACTCGGTGACAGAGGTTGAAGAAAATGAAACACAACAAAAGGACAGGTCTCAGAGTAGCAGCCATGTTAGTCTGTATTCGCAAAAAGAAAAGGAGTACTTGTGGCACCTTCGAGACTAACAAATTTATTTGAGCGTAAGCTTTCATGAGCTACAGCTGATAGTTTACACTGTAGCTCACGAAAGCTTATGCTCAAATAAATTTGTTCTCTAAGGTGCCACAAGTACTCTTTTACAACCAAAGGAGTCATCAACAATCGAATTTGCGGTTTCGGAAAGTTCACATCCTTCAGAAATAGCAGGCTGTTCTCAAACTTCCGTCTCCACTCTGAACTTGTTCGAGCGTCCATCCCTGAGACCTCTTCAACCATCACAGGGAAATGGAGATAATTCAAGCACCAATTCTTCAGAAGATGATGCCTTCAAAAAGGAATTGGATAAACAAGAAAGATACCAGCGAGTTTCTGCGATTCATAATTGTAATGAAGCATTATTCAAGAGAAACTTTCAGGAAGATTGTGTGGTAATGGAGCCTATTGGTAGGCTAAAAGTTAAGTCTGTTTTTGAGGCCATTCACAACTACTCACACCGCATTCAGGCTGCTTCGAGAATTGCTTCGAGCATGCCAACAACTCAAGCTAGTGTAGAGTGACTGTTTTCAGCTTTAAAGTTAATTTTAAATGATTTGCGGCAGGCTATGAAAGACGACTTGATTGCTGCAATAATTTTTTACAGAATGAATTATGAATGATTCTAGTTTGTATCATTGTTGATGACATTTAAATTGTTTTAAAAGTCTGAATAAAAATAATGTTTTTTCAAAATTACAGGATGCACTTTTTTATTTAGTTAAAAATTAATTTGAGTCAGAGCACGGAGCGGAGTCAGAGCAGAGCTGGAGTTGAGCAATTGAAAAATTTGATTGCTCCAAATCCCTGCTTTGTGCCATTGTTGGGCTTGTTGTGGTAAAAGCCAACATTCCACACTTTCTGTTTAAATGAGAACATGATTTTGTACAATAACGAGCAGCCAGAGAATTTCAAAAGAAAGAAAGAAATTTTCTCCCTTTGTCTGGTCTACATTTTTGTCAAAGGGATTTGTTTCTAATTCTGTCAAATATTTGGCATTTAAACTAAATGTCCACAGTTAGCACCTAGATGTTGTAGGGCCATTCTGAGCCTAAGCTAGCTAAAATTTATTTTCTCATTCTCTAGCAGAGTAATTTCAGTGTAAATCTAGCCAAAATAGATTTGACAAGGATTTAGAGAATTGTCTGTTCTTAAACATCATTCTTCATTGATTTATTCCCTCTTTAGTAGTTTTTTTGTTTTACGTTTTCTTAAAGCTTTTCGTTTGATCTTGGGTCAGTTTTTACCCCGATGGTAAAAAGGAATACAGAGAAAACACTCAAATAAGAATATTAGAAGGAAGCCCATGATAGTTTACACTGCATGGGATCAAACTCTCCTCCTTCCTATTGCTAATCCCTCAGCACCACAGAGCAACTGGAAATCCTGCCTCTTCAGTGGTGTTAATATGGATAGATATGAACTTACTGTGACATTAGCTCCAACACCGGTGTCCTAGTTTCTCTCTCTTCACATGGGGAGACAGGTGTGCCACCACCAGAGCAGAGTGATGCTAGCAGCCAGCACTAGTACATATGTGTATGTAAGGCCCCAGCGGTTCCGGCTCTTAACATGGTCATTGGGGTGATCACTATGGATACAGGAATTTTATACATTTCACTGGTTTGTAAATCTAGGGAGTCCAACTGCAGGCTCTTCTCATTGTTTCTGAAAACTGAATTTCTTCATATGTTTTCATAAGGTTGACAGTGACACAATTTGGAATGAAGTTCATTCATCTGGTGCTGCTCGCCTGGCTGTGGGCTGTCTCATTGAACTTGTTTTTAAAGTGGCCACAGGAGAATTGAAGGTTGGTATAGCAGTAACACTCAGCTCTGATATAGGGCTCTGTGCAGAAATGACAGGGTAAGATTTATGGCCTGTGTTATACAGGAGGCCAGACTAGAAGATTGTAACGGTCCCTTCTTGCCTTAGTTGACAAGGCCCTTATGGACATCAGCAAGCGAACACAAAATTTACTAACCTTAAGGATGGGTTTTAAAAAAAAATCAACCTCAGATAAGATCCCGATGCCACTCAAGTCAGTTTGCTATTGACTTCAACAGGGCCAGAGTTCAATACAGTTGTTCAAAGTATGCTCTACCAGAAACTCTCAGTTAAAAATATTAGTTTCCAAAAAATGCAGGCTGCCTTTGTCCCTTAAAAATGAAAGGAAAGTTGACACATTGCTAAGGGCTTGAGTGGAAGCAAAGATTGCTCATCTGAGTGATCAAGAACTAACGAATAATTACAAAACTGAATTAGCAACTCTGACTGCAGCTTCTGAGCACACTCTGTGAGCTACCAATGTTCTTTTGTCTGATCTCCCCTCTGTATTCTTTTTGGTTTTTATGTGTAGAATGGATTTGCTGTTGTTCGACCTCCAGGTCATCATGCTGAAGAGAGTACACCCATGTAAGTATGTGTGTGCTTTAATTGGTTTGCTTCAGTGTTTATAGCCTTAATTAAGAGAACTCTGTACATGATATGGAGCTGGAAGCTAGAAAATTAATTATTTGATTTATTATAGACTTCCTTGCTGAGTGATGTACAATAGAGCATCAAATTCAAAGCTGTTGGTAATACTTTAGAAGCAGGAAAGTTTCCAGTCCTCTTTTTGTTTAATACAGTCTGTGTTAGAATCATGCTTAGAGATTACGTCTATTTATAAAGCTACATTGGTTCTATTAATTCCATCATCCACATCTATTGTTTATGTGGATAAAGAGTGGTTTGTAAGTTAGGTACACCGTGGGGGGGGGGGGGTTAATATGGAAGAACAGTGATATGCCACTTATAAAAGTTATGCCTGATATAGTATTATATTTTGGGAATATAACACCAATTTATAAAAAGCATTTTTTTTTTCATAAAACAGAAACTGAAGTCAAATCTTCCACTCATTTAGCTTTGCTGGGATTTTATTCCCCTAGAGTTGAAAATGTTTTGGCCACATTGGGTTGGGCTGATTTCAACTCTGGTTCCCAAAAGGTAAGAGGGTAATAAACCATATTAATGACTGCATCTCCCTCAACCCTGGATATAATTTGTTTCTTGAACTAGTACGTGCCTGGCTTCATGACCAATGCTCAGATCCTTTGGTCCCTTGATACTTGGTTGGTGTGAGATCAGAGAGTATTTACTACCAGATTTGAATAAGCAGAGTTCTTTGAAGCTTCTCTGAACTGGTCCCCTGTGCTTCAGATGATTTCATCTGTATTGCTAAAATCCCTTTCTTTCTCTCTGACTGCACCCCCATTCCCCTCACTTGTGAGAGCCCTGAAACTTTAAAAATCACTGACTGGCAGATTGTATACTTCAGCAGCATCTCACAGTAAAGAGTGTTGGAACATATAACAGTGTTCACCATTTCCCATGAAATCACTGAGTCACCTGTTGGCGTGTGGTTATTTTTTGTGTGTAATCGAGCACATATGTATCTGTTAGGGAGGAAGAAATAGTGAAAGCAATAGATATTTCTTCCTACTTACTGTATTATGTTTCAAATTATATATATGTTAGGACCGAGGTGAACCTATAATTAACACCCCTTTTTTCCTCTCTCTCTCGCTCATTACCTCCAGGGGGTTCTGCTATTTTAATTCGGTGGCAATTGCAGCCAAGCTTCTCCAACAGAGACTCAACGTTAGCAAAATCCTTATAGTGGACTGGGTGAGTAAACATTTATTTTCACCGAAGTAACAATGGAAGCTCTGTCAATTCCTCACAGAGGAGAGCCATTATTTATAACTCAGTGAACACAATCTGACTATAGAAGCTCAGAACTGAAATTCACTTTAAAGTGGTTTATATACAATAAACATATCTTTAAGGGCAACATCAAGATTTAAAGTCACAGCACTAAATTTACCATATTTTTTCCATTTCCCCCCATCCTCCCCTCCCCCCAATCCTGAAGAAGCTATCAACCCTTCAAAACAAAACCTGTAACACAGATCAGATCCAAACTTCAAGATGGGTGGCTGCACCAGGCGCTGGTTGAGATTACTGGGCATGAACATTATGTCCATCCCAACTCTGTTCTCATGAGCTGACAGAGTATTGAAACTGACAGGGTCCCTGACTGGCTTGGCTTGAGCAGCGTTCTGGACAATTTCAGTAACCTGCTTGAGGGATGGTGCAACATTATTCACATTTGGGCAACCCAGCAGCACTAGTGGGTCACTCAACAGAGAAGCTAAAATTTTAACAAACTTGCAATACTCCTTTTGGAAGTCTGATTGCTTTCTCAGGATCAGGATGTGACTCATTCATCTATCTAAGTTAAAAAAAAAATGTTCAGGAAAGTTTTCCAGTTTGGGTCCATCACTTTTCTCAGAGTTCATTTTACTCTTCTTTCCTTCTCAATGACTTGGTTTTTGTAGCAGAAATTAAAGGACAATTTGGAGAAATGTCCCCTTTTGTAAGCTGTATCAGTACCTGGGTGATAGGGGAATTGGCCTGTTTGATTGAGATCATTGTGTTTTGTTTTCTTTGCACTGCTGTTAAATTTCATTCATAGGGGCTCATTCCTGCACAGAGCTTAAATGGGTGTTTGACCTGCAGACAGGCTGCCTGGTCAGACTTATGGTGATTAACATAGCTCCTCCCAGTTCTGTCCAAGAGAACATCCTGTTTTCATTCAGGTGTATAATTGAGGTTAATTAATTACCCAGTTATGTTGAACTGAAAGGACAGTAGAACCTCAGTTTTACAAACAGCCAGTTTTATTCAAACCTTATTTCATGATGTGGGGGGAGAATCACATAACAAAAGTGGTGCAGATGAAAAACAAGTCGACATCCCTTCATATTCCTATACGGTCAGTACATTGGAGATTTCTTCTTGTCCTTCAAACCACTGTAAAGTAAGCAAGGCAGTGCACCATCCTGCTGCCACTTACGCACCATACCAACTGTGGTTTTGTGAGGTTAATTGTATGAACTCTTCAATTTCATTAACTCCTCAGTCCCCAGCTAGCTAGTAAAATAAGGATTGTACTGTATAACAAAGCTAATTTTAGTATTGTGTGAATCCATTTTAGTTTTCAACAAACTGCTTCACTTGGGTTAGAAAGAACCATCCTGATGTTTTTCATCTGGACTGTTACTAGTGTACTAATCCTCCTTATCTAATACAATCTCTGTCCCTCAAGGACGTGCACCATGGGAATGGTACTCAGCAGGCTTTCTACAGTGATCCTAACGTTCTTTATATTTCACTACATCGCTATGATGATGGAAACTTCTTCCCAGGCAGTGGAGCTCCTGATGAGGTAAGAACATAAATAAGCAGGATACCTGCCCTCCATATAATTACTATGATTGGCACCCCAGGATTTTATTGGTAGAATCTGCTGCTGGTCAAGAGTGAGATGCATTGACAAAATTGGGGGGGACTTCCATAGGTCAAGAAGTGAAATGACAGGGCACTATAGGAAAGCTTGTACTGCCCTTGCTCACATGAATGCCTATTAATGCTTCTCTAAGAACCCATTTTTGTGTGTTTCTAAAGTTCTAGCAATACCGTAAAATTTACATTTTGTCCTGGCAAGGAAAAGAGACATCTTGGTAGAGCATCTTATTCAAAGAATCAGGATCAACATGATTAGTCTCTCATAAGTCATTATTGGACAGTTGTTCAAACAGACCCCTTTGCTTAACAGACTAAAGTCTTCTCTTCATTGGAGAACACAACTTCATGTGCATTTCCTTCAGTCTAACAATGCAAGCTTTTTGTGAGACAAAACAAGAAGAGGGTGCCCATGCTTTTACAATTACTCCATGGGCTCACCAATCCTCTGATCTCCTGGCGCAGGCTTGGGATCCATCTCTTTCTGCTGGCCATGCCCTGTCATTGCTCAGAGGAGCAAGTGCTGCATTTAGACCTGCTTTTCCTGCATTCAAAAGCTTGGATATTGGATTTTTAGCTACATGTTCATTAGAACTGTTGGACAATGTCCAAAACATACTCTTAGAATCCCATAAGCCTTCTACAGACAAGGCATATGAATTAGAATGGAAGCATTTTTCTATTTGGACACACACATTCTATTTGGACACACAGATGGACACACACATTCATCAAGTACTATTTTTTTCATTCTACATTCAGCCTTATCCTTCAAGAAGCTGATCATAGACCTCTCCTTTGAAAGCATACCTGTCATCTATTTCTCCTTTCCATTGTTTATTCTGTTACAAAGGGCTTATGGACCCTTTACTGGTTTTCACAAGAAAACAGCTGTCAGGAAAAAGTCAATTTTGTTTTAAAATACCTGTGACGTTAGTTTGCCCATCTTATCTTAAGCAATCCAGAAGTCATTCTTTGCACAGAATCCTACAGCACAAAGAAAAGGAGTACTTGTGGCACCTTAGAGACTAACCAATTTATTTGAGCATGAGCTTTCGTGAGCTACAGCTCACTTCATCGGATGCATACCGTGGAAACTGCAGAAGACATTATATACACAGAGACCATGAAACAATACCTCCTCCCACCCCACTCTCCTGCTGGTAATAGCTTATCTAAAGTGATCATCAAGTTGAGCCACACACACACACAAACTTGATGATCACTTTAGATAAGCTATTATCAGCAGGAGAGTGGGGTGGGAGGAGGTATTGTTTCATGGTCTCTGTGTATATAATGTCTTCTGCAGTTTCCACAGTATGCATCCGATGAAGTGAGCTGTAGCTCACGAAAGCTCATGCTCAAATAAATGGTTAGTCTCTAAGGTGCCATAAGTACTCCTTTTCTCTTTGCGAATACAGACGAACACGGCTGTTACTCTGAATCCTATAGCACAGTGGTTCCCAACCTCACTGTTAGCTGACTTCATTACACAAGACCGGATGTTTGATTTACCAGAGTGGGCTAACAGAAAATGTTTGCTGTTAACTCAGACGATTATTTCAATTTGCTTGTAGGTTATTTATCCCTATTGATAAATTCTACAGAGAACTGCAAATGAGTTCTGTTTTGGCAGATGGAAATGGAAAGGGGAAAAAAAAGGTCATGAATGAACCAAACTTTGCTGTGTTTAATTTAGGTAATTAGTAAAGTCCACAAAGACTCCATAGTTTTGACTCATATTGATTTAAACAAAGTAGTTCATTTCTAATGAAGATGCAGTTATAAAAATCTGTATACATGATTCAAAGGGCAATTAAAATATTTTAACTAATTAACTATATTTATTTTGAAATGTTGATAATTTTGAAAATCCATAGAATTTCTTGCCCTGTCAGTTTTACCCTTTCTGTTCTGCAAATTTTGATGTTCCTTCCAGTGTCTAAAGAATATAAAGCACAGCCTTGTTCTAGTACCTTGTTTGCGTATTATAATCATAGCCAATGACCAAACATTTATGCAGCATTTAACTGATGCTGCAGGATGGACAAGGAGTACAAACTGATAGACTTCTGCTGTACTTATCTTCATGCTGAGTCTTTAAAATAATTTAATAATGTAGTGATTGATTTGTCTAAAAATAAATATATGGGATTGGAAGGACATTCACTCTTCACTAAATATAAATCGTAAAATATGGAGCATAAAGTGGTGCGGTTTCCTGATGTTCTCGCAGGGATATTTACAAAGTACAGTTCTGCCAAACAGAAATTTTAATACAGGAAATAATAGTAGAATATGTATTAAAATTAAACGGATGGATGGACAGACTGTTTTCTAGTAGCTAGTATTTATGGTAAGGCAGCCAAAGAAAAGTTTGAATCCCAGATTCTGCAATTTATTTAAACTGATATAGCAATTTATGTAGTTGTATAGTACATCTAAATTGAATCTCCAGATTGGTTGTATTTAGGTAGCAACAGTATACCAGCACTTCACTTTAGATATGATATAGAAAGGAGATTCACATTTTTCTTCAGATTAATTACCGTAAATGTCATGTGTTTATTTTTCAGCTGTCACCTCTAATAAAGGTACATGCACGCTGTGACAATGTTCACAAATGTGCACATAATGATTCCCATACTACCACTAGCCAGTTAGCTCAATGTAACTATTTGTTGCAAGTCATATTTTCCACCAGCAGAGGGGGCCCTCACTCTGAGTAAACTGCCCTTGTAGCTGAGTGAAGAAAATTCACATAATAAAGCAGGACTACAAAATACTCTTCTGAGTTTTGTGATAAAGCTGAAGATGAATTATATAAAACTATTCCTTCAGTAGGGCAGTCTGTCCATTTGAAAATGGAAAAGGTGCTGGTATATTAATGATGGGACTACATGCTTAGATAACACGCAGTTGTTGGGCTACCAGTGGTCAGATATTTGTGGGTGCTCACATAGAATTCAGCACTTGTGAGAATATGAAAGCTTTAATAACTGCCTCCATTTGGGGACCCAAAAAGCTCTAGAAAAAAAGAAAGCATCCCAACAATGCATTCTAAATAGATCAATCAGTCAGGAGCAGAGCAAATCGATGGGATTTAAAGAAATGGCTGGCTACAAAGATATATTACCAGCATCAACAGAATGTCCATGAATTTAACACATTATATTTGTCCACTCCTTCATCCCTTTTCTCAGGTCGGCACAGGACCAGGAGTTGGTTTCAATGTTAATATGGCGTTCACTGGTGGCCTCGAACCACCGATGGGAGACACAGAATATTTGACTGCTTTCAGGTAACATTCAAGCCTTCCTTTCACAAAACCCATCTTGGCTGAAATCAGATCTTTCTGCAGTGAAATCGCTTTTCTTTTTAGTAAACTAAAAATAGGATTGCAGTTACTTGAGTGTTCTGTGACTGAAAGCCAATGCAAAGAAAGGAGAGGGGTGTACCTGCACATAGCAATGGATCTGTGTGAGCAAGGTGCCGAATGACTGGCACTTACTGCTCAGCAAAAGCTGTGCTGGTCTGGTGTACAAAATTACAGTAAGCTTTAATGAATAAGCTCTTCTCTGGTCTCTCTCTCTCTCTGTCTCATCATGAACAAGCCACTCTAGAGGGAGATGGACCCAGAAGGGCTTTTTCCAAGTCATTCCAAGTAGGAGTTTTGAGATGCAGTTAGAGTTACCGTTGCTGAGACCAGTCAAATTTTGGGAGTTTATTCCGGTCCAGTCTGTTCAACTGCCGTTCCTTCTCCTGGTGTGGGAGAATTGCTCATGCAGCTCCCACAACACTGGTACTGCAGCACTCCCGCCTCACCCTGCCCATCTCATACAGCTGGAGTTAGCAAGGGGTAGGAGCTGTGTTAGAAGTGTTTTGAGGGATAGGGCATGGGGGCAGCAAGAATGAAGAGTGGGACAGGAAGCACAGGAATGGGAGAATGGAGCAGAGGGGTACCCCGTGTGGTCACTATTTCAGGGGTGAGTATCCCATTCTGTAACACTGAGAATTATTCTGCAGCTCTCTTGCTGTTAATATTTGCTTGGCCTTATGCTGGTGACATGTTGTTCTCATCTAATATATGCTTTTGGTACTCAGGGTCATGTTAGCACATTCTGACTTTTCACCTCAGAGTGAATAAGAGCAAAAAATCTGCTCCTTTGACCCTAATCTGTCAGAGGGAGCTGAGTCAATATGGCATCTGTTGTGTTCATCCCCTTCCATGCAGATAAAGCTAATGCATTCTGACTTCCCTCTGGATTGTGGAGAGAGTTGTTCTCCATAGCCTCACCCCTTGCCAGGTCTGTGGGGAATTTCTTGACTAGTTTAATGCTCTGGGCCTTTATTATGGGTAGTCCCTGGGGACCAACCAAAATTGGGCTACCATTGTCCTAAACATTATATAAACACAGAGTACAGTCCCTGCCCCAGAGAGCCGACAGTCTTCAAACCCCTTTGAATTGACCAGGTGCAGTCACTGCTCTCCACACAGTGGCTGACACAGGCACACACAACCTTATAATATATTATAAAAATTAATGAGTTTTCCAACTGCCTTTTGTTCTTGGGTCGGAGTTTGTGAGCAGATTCTTCTTTTCCATTCCCATTAGTCCCATCTTCACCCACCACAACAACGCAAGAAACCAGAGAGACGTGATTCCACATGAATCAGCTGTACTTGTAGGTCAATACCTGGGCCACCCATGAAATGTCTTTTGTAGCTCGATTCCATTGTCACCATAGGAGTACTGTAAGGATGCATTTTGGTCAGTCTTGCTGCTCTAGTAGCATCAGACAGGCAGGCAGGATAATTGTATCAACACAAGTCCTATGATGCTGCAGGAAGCCACAGCTGCAGACTATTGTCACTAGCTCAGGGTTGTCTGACTTCGAAAATAAGTCTCTCACCACTGCCTTTGGTGTTTATGTAACTATGGGAAGCAGCTCTTTTGTAGAAATATTCTCTTCCATTCATGTTCTCTCTTTAACACAGGAGACTTTCTGGGTCATTCATTTTGCTCTGCTCTTACCGTTTATAAAAGGATTAAGACAGAACAAGGCTGTGCAGTATGGTAGAAAATGACTTTTCAGAGTCTTGACTTTATCATATTGTGGGAAGGGATGCACAGAATACTGGAGCTTTTTCACTTGAGAGAATTTTTGTCCAGTAGCACCTTTCTGGAACTGTATTGAAGATTTACAATAGTGCTTTGTTGAGCTGCAAGGGGAAAGCTCAGGGTAGGCTGATGCTACGTCACTGATGCTTAGTTTAGAGCTTAGTAGAAGTCTGTAGTAATGCACTTTCCCCTTGTGAATGTGGGCAGCATAAAAGGAAAGCATAACAGGTACTGTCAAAACTGTGGAATAACAGGATGAAATGAGGACAACCAACTTTGACTAAAGCGTTACATAATATACAGGTACGTAGACAACCGTGTGTGAGACAACACAGTCCTTTCTTAATCTTTTTACTAGTTTCTTTCCATGTGAAAATATGTAAAGGTCAGTGATCTGATGTATTTGTAGGTTTCATCTTTCCCAGAGATCATTCTGTCTTCCCCTATTTGCATCTTGTTGATGTGGTTTTCTGACTTCAAGTCAGGTTTAATGGACTTCTGGCAAATGTCTGCATAATTTAGGGCGATATAAACATGCAAAGTATGAGATGCAAATATCTGGACATTTTTGAAAATACACAGATGGAATATCAGCTTCATGAGGTTCCATTGCATCTTTTCAATCGAGTGGAACCAGGAGCATTATTTCCTTTATTCATTGTGTGCACATTTTTATCTCCTAAAAATATTAATGTATTTTACTAACAAATAGAGATTTAACTCAATAGATTTTTAAAAGATTACAAATAATTTATATAATTTACAATAATATATAATTAAGTAACTGTCATTTATCTTCCCATTTTCCTCTACTTACAAGAAAATAATGGTGTTACACTATTGTGCAAAGTGGAAGTCTTTTTATCCTAGCACTCAACAAGACTGATCTTTTCATCCTAGGAAAAACCTGTAGCCCAGAGCTGAATGGCAAATTGCTATTACATTTTAATTGAATTTCAAGGCTACTGGAAAATTGTTCAGAAATCTTCAAAAAAAGAACATACCCAACCATTGCCTAATTGATGCCGACACTTATTGACCAGAAAATACAACTATTCAGGGTACATACACCAAACATAGTCTTGGCCATCATTTTGCAAGTGCTGTTGGAAGAAAAGTTCCTTGCCTGACCAATCTTATACATAGTAACGCCAGCCATATACACACATGCACACACCTTCAGCGTATAAGTTAAGTTGGAAACCTTTTTAATCTTATGCCAAGTTTGTTCATGATAATACATTATCAAGTGACCTTTTTAAATCTTATCCAGCTTCTTTGAAAAACATTTTCCTGAATCTTTTTTTATTGATTTTAATGTAAAATAATGCTTTGAAGTTTAAAATTTATAGTCCCCTGAAAGTTAGACAAGAGAAGGGAATGGGTCATATATCCTTGTGTGTGTGTGTGAGCCCCATGAGACAATACATGCCTTGAAGGCAGCACCTTGTTATTCCGACCCATCGAATGCCACGTTGCATTTGCAGGGGATCAAACCTAAGATGAAAAAAAGATAAGAAAATTGGCCCTAATGAAATCCAGAAGCAGCCGGCACTTTCACCATGAACTTGGAAACTCAAAGCGGAGAACTGAACTTTAATTCAAACCAGTCCAAATGCCAAACTGTGAAGCTTTGAAGTCTGTAGAGGAATCAGTGGAAATCCTTTGAGCTAGGCTGAGATATTGGTACACTATTTTTTCTACATTAACTCCTACGATTCTTGACTACACCGTGTTTAGAATAGAAATGTATTTCTATGTAAAAACACGAGGAAGAAAAATGTGCCCAGGTTTGATAAAAGCGTGCGTTCGAATGAGGAAGTAATTGGGATAGTTGGCATCATAAAGGAATCTCCTTGTGATAAACCCGATAGCTGCATATTAAATCCCTAGTTTTCTTGAGGTTCAAAAAGCATTTCAAATAGTACCATTTTCCTAGTTCCAAAGGGAGATTAATAATTTAGGGTTAGGGTTTTCTATTGATCATTATACAAATAACCTTAAAATAAACCAACATGTTTGAGCTAGAAGTTTGTGTTAGAAGAAGAGCCAAGACATCTTAATACCTTGGGAAGTGGAAATAATTGTGTTTGAGTTGTTTCAAAAGCAAGAGTTAAAAATGGCAGAACTGTTTTATCCATTTGTACTATCCATAACTGAAGGCTGAAATCACAGACTGTTTAGAACATGAGTAGTTTCCACTTTGTTCTGAAGTTGGGGTGACATCCTTATTGATAAATTTTGAAAGAGATCACTTCAACCACCAATGGACATTCCGTATGACAAAACTGATTTGGTATTTCTCTGAGTGCTTGGCACTGTTCCATGGTTTTGTAACAATGGGTATGCTTGCTTAAAACAGTATATAACATTATAATCTAGCTAACCATGTACTGCACTAACATTCCACAGCTGAATTCACCACCAAAGTATTTGTCCAATACAGATTTCATAGATTCTGAGGAAGTGTATTAAACTCTAATGTATAAAATGTATGGCATATAATTAAAAGAATTCCTTAAATTATCAAAATGTTATTGGAATCCATTGTTGTTGTTACATAGTTATAGAAACAAACTTTTGTAAAGTTCAGTCAGTAGTTTTACCAGTGTCTGTTGTTTCCTAACTTGTTTTATAAGAGGAAATAATGTTCCTGTTCCTTAAACTCTCATAACATTTTAAAAGGTTATGTTTAATTACGGGACACAAACCTGGCAAGGAAAACCTTAGTAAAAAAGTGAAGATTGTGTTCAGGTCCTTATTACAAGGATAGAACAATTACCATTAATACATGAAATAAGGTTTTTCTAGCACATGTTGTAATTCACTGTAAGAATGTATCCCCAATGGAGCGCTAGCAGTTGTGTTGTCTTGTCTTCGGTTTACCTTGGCTACGTGACAGTGATCTCCTGGAGCATTAATATTCTATGTATAATTTTGTTTTAATGTTATTCACCTTTTAATTTAAATTATAAGTCAAATGAGTATTGTTTGTTGGAAGATTCTCCTTGTTCTAGGTTTCTTAAAGACTCACGTACATATAGAAAACTAGGTTTTTTAAAATCATCTATTTATGCAAAAAATGTATACGAGAGGTATGCAGAACTGTACTACTTGCGTTTGGTTTGGTTTTGTTCTAAAACTTTTTCCATAGAAATGTCATCTTTATATTTTAAAT